TGGAGACCCACGGAGGAGCTTGGGAGGGGCACGTGTGGGGTGGCTAAGTGGTAGATGCATGGGAAGAAGTGACGCAAGGCCCTGAGCCATAAAGACGTGACCACAGAGTCCAGGCGAGCACGGGAAGGCCGACTCCTGGACCCGAGCCAACGCAATAAGAGAAGGGGGCAGAGAACATGGCAAGGGCTGATCTTTTTAACCACACAGGCACTGTCCTGCCCAGAGCCTGCCTTCAGGCTCTCCCAACTGTCCTTCTTCTGACGCTATGAACTGTGAAACGGGGATTTCACACCATCACGTTTCTGCTTAGCCCCCACGGCTGGACCCCAACGCCCCTCCTCTGCAAGGCCTGCCCAGCTCCCAGCCCTGAGGCCACCAGCTCCTCCCTTGGGCACCCATCATACTTGACTCACGGAGCTAGTATGACAGGATACGTGGGCTCAGTGGGTCCTGGGTTCACAACCCAGCTCCACTTAGAAGCCCATGACTGTGGGCAAGTCCCATCCGAAACAAGCACCCCCCCCCAAAGGCCTGTGGGAAACCTTAAGGAGGCAGCTAGCACCGTGCCCGGCACCACCTCAGTTCCAAGGGCCCCAAACCTCAGTCCTGTTTGTCAACCCTGGGCAGTATGGCTTCCCAGCCCATCTGACTGAGGGAGACACTGAGGCAGGGGTGGGGACACAGCTCGGGGACGACCAGCCAGCAGGGACCAGCTGGCAGCGGCGGACGCTCCCCCCCGCCCCACCGCCAGAGCAGGCCTGGGCTCACCGAACTCCAGCCACCCCCACCCCCACCCCGGCTCTGGGGACCAGGGCTTGACCAAACCACTCTAAAGCAGAAAGGTCAAGGTTCACAGCATCAGAAGGAACAAGGCACCAGACGGCCAGAAGCAGGACACTGGAGTCCCAGCCTGCTTTGTGCTGCTCTAACGGCAGGAACAAGGACCAGTGACATTCCTTGTTGTCCGCACACTGCTATAAGCTTTGCACACATTTGCCCAACAGAACAGGAAAGTCCGGGGAATTCTGAGGATGGTGGAGGCTTCCGACCTGAACAGGAGTGTCTTCCAAACTCCCAACAACCCAGCCAACCTTGGACCTACAGTCAGACCTGGTGGAGCACTCAGCGGGACCCTGAGGCCAAGTCAAAGGGGGAGGGGGGGAGGAGTGGAGGGACAGGGGAGGGGCGGGGGTGGGCAGGGAACAGCCAAAGCAGCCTCGTTGCAGGAAAAGCACCGAAGCGCTGGCCACGCACAGCCAGGCCAAGAACTAAGGCACAGACAGTCCACCGACCACCTCAGACCTCAGGGCTACCCCACAAAGCTCCAGGGAAGTGGGACCACCGGGCAGGGGGGTGGGGCACGGCTCTGCTCTCTCCTCTCTGAAAAGGTCAACTGCCTGGACTACCTCCGATTCCCTGAAGGAGTCCCCGTGACGGTGGCAGAGGCAGCCTGGGCCCAGAGAGACACCTGTGCTCTCCACCAGAGCGCCCTTTTAGGAGCCATCAGAGCAAACGTATCCACGAGGACTTCATCGGCTCCTACGGCAGCAACAGCAAGCTCAGGGACAGGCCTCTCGGGAGAGACCATGCTTTCTGCTGGGCTCACCCGGCTCTCCAAAGACAGGCCCGGAAGTCTTCATTCCAGTGGTCCGCGGGGGGCGGGGGTGATCGGGTGACATCGCAGTCATAGCTGCTCGAACTCCAGAACCCCACAGTTCAGGGCCATGGACAAAGGCTTCAAGGGGCAAATGAGAGGAGGTCAACAGACCTCCAAGTCAAATTTGAAATAAAGATACGGAGAAAGATGTAAACATACAGGTATACTACTGAGCCATTCTTCCCTGAAACGCAGTGTCCTCCAGCCTGAGATTGTGGGGCAAGCCCCTGGTCCCAGGACCACAAGAGTCAAAGCCTTGTGAAAAGAACAGGATGCCTGCCCAGAACAGCAGCCACCACCTGCAGACGGAGGCTGGGCATCCTTGGTCCCTAAGATTACAGATTCATGAAATCCCACAGTACCCGGCCTCCCATCACCACGACAACTGCAGGCTACCTGTGCTCTAAGCAAGCACACAGCTTTATTCAAAACACAGCCCTTCTGCCTGGACTCTCCCTGCTTCCCTTGCCTACCACCCACGCGGAGTTCAGATGACAAGGTCCCCCACCCTGCCTGTGGCCAGCAGAGCTGGCCATCCACATATGTCCAGGCCCAGTGACACTGGCCAGCTGGTCTGGGCAGATGCTCAAAGCACGGCCAAGCAGAGCCTTCTGGATTTGGCCCTTTGGCTGGGGCTTTCTGAGGACCACGGAGATGGGGAGAGAAGATCTCCACGAAGCATCCAGTCCAAAGACAGGGAAGCCCAAGAAGAAAGGGACAGAAGGTGGATTCCTGCCCCTGACATCAGCAAAGCCACGACAGGCACTTCTACCACGCAAACACCTCCCCCCCAGGACAAACCGCTTCACAATAATGCCGACCTGCAAACAACACACTGTCCCCTCACCGATGAGCAGCCCCACGAAAAGGGATGCACCCATCGGACAGAAGGAACAGGAGCCATGTGTCGCCTGGGCCCAGGGCTGAGACATGCATATGTGCCCACAACCGGGGAGCTTTTTCGAGGGGTGAAAATGTTCCAAACCTGGACTGTTGGCAGGTTTCCCCCATTCTGTCGAGTTGCTAAACATTACTGCATTGTAAACTTAAGGCAAGTGAATTTATGGTATGGAAATTATACTTTAACAAAGCAGTCTACAAAAGTTCTTAAAAAACACAGGCAAGAACACGGATCAAGTACAGAGCAAAGCAAGTCTGTGCAAAAGAGGGTGTATCGTAGTCTTCCATTTTATAGGAAGTTCTACAGGCAAAGTTATAGTGATAAAGCCCAGAATAGTAGCTGCGTGGGTGGGGAGGGGCAGGGGAGGGAGTCACTGCCCGGGGAAGGGAGACGAGGCATCCATCCAGGGCACTGGAAATCATCTACATCTTGATATGGACGGTGACTACCTGGGATATCCATGGGTAGAACTTTGTTGGCCCAGCACCGAAGAGCCAGGCACATTTTCTACACATACATAACCATACAGAAGATGTACGCATAATATAGACACAAATCTAAAAGCTTATCTTTTTAAATGGCAAAGCCCACGGATGCTCACATGGTACCTGACATTGCCTAAAGGGGAAGGACAGTTTGCTCACTGGGAGCTGAGGGGAGAACCCATTCAGGGACCTCCTACCCAACCTTCAGGACCCATCTCGAATCGCCCCATGGAGTGAAGCCCTCTCTCAGAGTTCCAGGTGTAACTGCTCGCACTGCTGAGCATTCCGCCATGAAAGTCAATCCCCTTTACGCTGGGAGCTGGGCTTTGAGGAATGCAGGGAGCTGCTGCATTAAAAATTGGTTAGCATGCGTTTATTAAACACCCACTGATTGCCTAACACACACACACGTGCCCACATGCACACGCACGCATGCACGCACACACACACACACACACACACACACACACATACACAGCACGACCGCCCAAACCACATGCCATCTCAGCAAGAAATGCTAATTCCCACCCCCAAATAGGATGTCAGTTCTGGGGCAACAGGATCCAGACACCAGGCTTGTTATCAGAAGGGATCATTTGCAACATCTCCAGCCTGATCCTCCTCCTCTTACACAAATCACAGCCAGAAGGGTGGGGGGAGCCCAGAGCAAACTCCGTTTCCAGTGGACACTGCACTGGGCTTCCCTCACCCCACCGGAGCTCACCTTTCCTAGCCCTGTCCTTGCGTAGCCTAGGGGTGGAGCAGGTCCACACGACTCCCAGGAAACATTCTGTCAGGTGCAATGTTTAAATATGACTGCCTGGCCATCCCCACCCTCCCTACCCCCAGGCCACCTCGGGCAGTAAAGGCAGGTACCCGGTAGGGGGGCACCCACCGCCCCATCCTCTCTCTGTCCAGGGCTCCCAGCTCTCTCTGCAGCGCCCCCAACCTTGGAATCTCTGGAAACCCAAGTCTGCCCAGAAAACTTAGAAAGAAACTTCCCTGCCCAGCCAGGTCTCTGTGCCTGCGAGGCCGGAAGTGGAACTCTGTCTCGTTCTGCAAAGCCCACGGATGAAAAGGGGCTAGAAATACACCTCCGCGAACAGCAGCTTTCTTTGGGTAGGCGGGTGGGTGCGTGGGTTAGACGGTGGTTGTGGGTAACTTTTTCCCTTTAAATATTGTGCTTTCCGAGTTTCCACCATGAATAAACTCTTGAAAGATTAATACACTTCGCGTGTGGCGGGAGCCACCCCCAGCCCCGGTCGGACGCGCCGGCCTCCCGAGTTTCTCTTTCACCTTGTCGAGGTAGCCGCGGGTCCCAGCGTCCAGCGTCCGGCGGGCGGGGCCTCTCGCCCCCTCCCCACTGGAGCCCGCGGCTGGGCCGCTCCCTGCGGCAAGTGGCTGGCCGGGAGCTGAGCCCGCCCAGCCCCCGGATCCGCGCCCCCGGCCCTGGTCCCCAGCCCACCCCCTCAGGCGCCGCCCCCCGGTCCATTCCCGTAGCCTCACAGGCACTTGGGAGGTGTGCAAGCTCACGCGCGCGCGCACACACAAACGCAGTCGCACTTTCTCCTCCCTCCCGGACCTGGGCCACAGCCCCCAAGAGCCCACACGTTCAAACTTGGCCAAACTCGCAGCAGCGGCTGCAGGGGAGTCGTGACGACCCCCGCCAAAGAAAGCCAGACCCCCGACACACACACGCACGTGTGCCGCCCCACCCCCTGGGCGACCGCGAATCTGGCCGGGCGGCCCCGTGGGGGCCTGGGGGGGGGGCGGGGGGCGGCCGTCTCTGCCCCCTCCCCGCCAGCGGGCGACCCGAGCGGGGTCAGGCGGGGCCAGGAGGTGGCGCCGGGCGGCGCTGTCCCGGGCGGGAGCGGCGCCGGGGCTCCCGGGGCCACCCGACCGGGCGTCTCTCCCCGTGGTTGGGGGGGGGGGGGGGGGGCGTGCTGGGGCGCCTTACCTTGCAGGTTCTGGACGCGGATGTCGCTGATCTGCCCTATGAGCTCCTCGCGTTGGAACCAGTCCCACTCGTGCGCAGCCATGAAGCGCGGGCGGCGGGCCGGGGCGCCGGAGCCGGGCGCGGGCGGCGGGCGGAGAGCCTGGCGGGCGAGGACGCCGCGGAGCCGGAGCGGCGGCGGCGGCTGGCGGCAGCGGGGGGGCGGGCGCGCGGTCGGGCCGCCCCCGCCGCGGGCGGGCAGCGGGCGGGCGCGGGGCGGCGGGTGCGGGGCGCCCGGCTGGCGCTCACTCCCCCATCCGGGGGCGGGGGCCCCGGGGGGCGAGGGGCGGGGCGGGGCGGGACGGGGGGGGGAGGAGGAGGGAGGCTGGGCTCGGGCCGGTTTCTTTTTCCCCCCCCCGGGGTGTTTGTTGGGTGGATTGTTGGGTTGCAAACGGGAGGTGATGAGGCGCGGGGTCCCGGCCCCCAGATTGTGATGTCTCAGGGGGCGGTGGGCGGGGCGACGCCGGCTTGGGTGAGCCCTCGGGTCCCAGAGCCTGTCGGGGAGGGCACGCCCCCTCCCACCCAGCTCCCGGGGCCTCAGCTCACCCCTGTCCGGGGTACAAACCCCTGCAGACGCCCCACCACCTCAGGTCCCCTGCCTCCTCACAATTCCGAGAGGCCATCTCTGCGGAAGACAGGGGCCCGGGCCGAGGCCAGGAGCCCCTGTTGGCACCTGGGGTAGCGGCGAGCACCTGGGTAGGGGCGAACGAAAGCAGAGATGGAGTCAGGGGCAGTCTCTCCTCTGCCTCCAGACTGGGGAGCTCGAGCGAGAGGACTTCTCTCCGGGCTTAGAAACCTTTTCCTTGGGGATCCGGTCCGGAGATGACCCCAGATTCTGGGGAGGGAAGAAGCAGCCCGAGACCCCACCCCCACCCCGGGCAGTCCCAGGCCCCTGAATCTCCGAGTGACCCTTTCTGGGGCTTTTCTGAAAATGAGTATGGGCCTTCTGGGTGGGTGGGTGGGTGGGTGGGGGTGTGTGTGTGGGTGGGGGTGTGTGTGTGTGTGTGTGTGTGTGTGTGGGGGGGGGGCGGTTCTTCACTGTTTCTTTTAACTCTTGAGAGTTGCAGGATCTTAATCTTGTTTGGGGCTGGCTACTACATCAGGGAAGGTTAACTGGTTTCCCGAACACAAAAAGTGAGGTCCTGGGATCTTGGAATTTACTCAAGGCTGAAGAATGAGTTAGGGACGTGAGATCCAAGCCCCTGGCTCAGTACTTTGACCTTCCCTTGAGTGCTGGGACAGGCTCTCCCCGCCCGGCTCCACACAGAATGGCTTATATATGGGGTAGTCCAAAAAATAAAAAATAAAAAATTGTGGGCAGGTCTCCCTGAGCATTTAAATACAGGTTGAGTTGTGTTCCTCATTGCCATGTTCATGCTACTGAACCACTAGAAACTCATATAGACGGGCTACTTCCTCAGTAGCTAATAACTATGCGGCCCCTACTGGTGAACAGACCCTGTGCCCCTAAGATGAATGAATCTACGATCAGACTCAGATTCCTGGAGGGGAGGGGGGACATGACAACCAAGAAACCAAATAATACACATGGAAATGATTTCCAGAACAGAGAAAATGCACTGGGGTAGGTGCAGAGATGGGGAAGGGGTCCAGGGAGATCTCAGGGGGACTGACCTTGGAGCTGAACCCGGAGGATGAAGGGAGCCCCCACCGGGAAAGCGACTTGGGCAGGGTCCGTGGACACAGGCCCCAGGATGGCGTCCTGTGTGCCACCGGTTTCTAGACGCCAGGGGCATAATCAGGGATGGGACACTGCAGCCCAGTGAGCTGACCATAACAGTAGGGAAGTTTCACTGGAGGGTAAACAGGAGTATAATGTCAAGCTCTGCATTGCTTTTTCTTTCTCTTGTTCTGTTTGCCAAGTTTCTCACCATGAGCAAGTATTTTTATAATCAGGCAGAAAACAGAAAACCAACAAGTTCTCCTTTAACCTCTCAAGACTCTGTATTTCCAGGCTCTCCTCATCTGCGGCTCAACATGCCCAATGGAGGCCAGTGAAGCCAACGGGGGGCTCCTAGGTGCCTGGGTGCAGGCCCTGGGGCTCGAGGCAGGCGCTGCCTTCTCCTTCACTGGGTCTGAAAACGCCTGTTCATTTCACACTCGGGGGAGCAGGGCCGCTTCTGTGTCCTCCAGAGCTGGGTGCCAGTAGCCAGACATCCCTTGGTTTGACCCCATCTGCTAGCCGTCTCCCGTTTTTATGCTTCAGTTTATTTTCCATAATTGCTGTGGAGAGGGGAGTGAGGCTGAAAATCATTTTCTTTACAAAGCAAAGAGCCAAGAAAATCAGCTTCCTTCTGCATTGAGAAGAGGGTCTCAGGGAGCAGAAGGCTTTAAACAAGGTGGTGCGGATGGCAGGGGCAGGGATGGGCCCTTTTTTGGGACACAAAGACGACTGCCCTGTGAATGGAAGGCTGCATCATTGGAGGAACGTTGTGGGGACGGTAACAACGCCCTGGCAGAGAGGGGCCAGATCACCATTGATGGAGCACCAACCGTGTACTAAATGTCAGTGCAGAGGAATTCTTTGTACCAAGGCGTAGAGAATTTTAGGTGGTTAAGATGGAGCAGGAACCCAAGTTGGCACAAAGCATAAGGCTAGCCCCTAGCAGGTACCTGAATATTCACTGAGCTAATGTGTCAGTATCACTCCTCTTTCCTTCATTCTCCCTGAACTCTGGCCGTCCCGGACTGGTCCCTGTGTCACCTCCTTGCCCATCAATCCTGGTTTTATGCTTTTCTACCTAGGATGTGGAAAACAGAGGTCTGGCCACAGCCCACTAACCCCTAGGCCTCTACTTATTCTGTTCCCTTTGAAATGCCCTTCCCCTCCCCTGTTCCCTGCACTTTCCCTTCACCCAGCACACCACCGCTAACTCATGTTCATCCCAAGAGGACCTCCTCAAAAACCCCTAAGCCCAGCTGAGTGCCCATCTTCTATGAGTCCCATAATATTCAGTACAAGCTCATGATACCCCATGAACCCCATCTTAACACGTTACATTATAATTGGGTATACTTGGTGGTTTCCCGCCGAAGCTGAAGTACTTGAGAACACGGCTGTCTCATGACTTTGTCTATCTGAGCACTAGCACAGTGCCTGGCACAGAGGGAGTTCTCAATATTGAGTGGGTGGATGATTGAAGAATTCATTATAGGCCTGAACTCACAAAGCAAGGACCAAATGACAAATGGTTGATCCCCATGTCCTGGACCCAAGTGAACTTCTGGAGTGGCCGTCAAAGCAATGTTCACATACTGGCAATGGGCAAAGCCGGGCCCCAAGCAAAGACCACACTGTACCTTCTTTGGGTGTATACAGCCTCCTGGTTCTGGAAGTCCAGCGGGGAGAGAAGGGCATGTGACTTCCATGGGGGTTTTTAGGCTGTTTGCCCTCTTGCCTGAATTAACAGTACTATTTTTCTTTCACACTTTTATTTTTGGGAAGGAAAAGTACTCTGCCTGAAGGCTTGGCTTCCTGGGAGTTTCCAGAAACGGATTTTCTAGAAATTGCCCAATTCCATTAGAATCTGTGCCATTGTTTAAAACTGACTTCTGCCAAGTGAAAGGACATGGCATCAGAGAATCTCAAAGAATCCCTCATGGGACCTCAGAGATCAAGTCCAACATCCCTCCCTATGTAGGGACTTTTAAAACATCTGGCCCAGTTATCTTCTTGCCTCTGTTTATGGGGACGGATGACTTCATGCAGATGATCTGGACAGGAGGTTTGCAGGTCTGCATCCCAGACCCACTTTGGGAAAGAATGAAGACAACGGAGATAACCCCAGTGTCCCCACCAGCCCCCTGCAGGAAAGCGGTATGAGGGTCGCAGCCAGTGGGAACCTGCCCTCTCCGGTCATGATCCCATATTTGTGTGTGACACTTGAGGCTTGAATAGCCCCTGAATAGCCCTTGAATAGCCCTGAATGGCTGGTGCCAGCCAGTCTTCCTAAAAATGTCATGAGGCCAACAAAGCAGGCTCATTTTTTGGTGGGGCTTAAAGCTGTTCAGATACTTGCCCAAGGTCACAAAGTAAAGCAAAAGGAGACTTGAACTGTCCTTCTCACTGCCTGCCCGTGTCCATCCCAAGTACAGCTGGACTTATGCTGTGGACCGAACACATAGCAGTTTGGTATTAGTCATATGTACTTATATATTGTCTTGTTTATTTGACATTTTAAAAAAAGACAGCTCATCAGCATGTAAAAACTGTTGGGGAGGGGCACCTGGGTGGCTCAGTCTGTTAAGCATCTGCCTTCGGCTCAGGTCATGATCTTGGGGTCCAGGGATCAAGCCCCGCCTCTGGCTTCCGGCTTGGCGGAAAGCCCGCTTCTCCCTCTACTCTCCACTCATGCTCTCTCTCTCACTCGCTACCTGTCTCTCTCCCTCTCAGATAAATAAATAAAATTTTGAAAAAAAAAAAAAAAAAACTGTTGGGAAGTCCAGTTAAGAGGCTGTAGTGGATCCCAGCTAGACTCACCGATGATGATTCACAAAGACCCAGACCACTTCCTGGGCTGGGGCAGGCGGGGTCTGCATTATGATGTCACAAGGCTGCCCTGTAGCATGAACAGCCCCACCCTCATTTATGCACTTAATAAACATTGGTCGAATATCTACCCATGGCCTGGCCCTGCGCCAGGACCCAACTGTGGACAAGACCCAGAATCTGCTTACGAGGGGTGGGGGGGTCCCTGCTCAGGGGTTTGGACTTTGTCCTAAGAGGAGCCTTTGGAGGATTCTCACGGGTCAGCTTGTCCCTTCTGTTGTGGTGTGGAGGGAGGGTCGGAGGTGTGGGACAGGAGCCCAGGGAACAGTCCATCTCAGCGAGGCAGTGAGGTGGCCATGGCCATGGAGGCAGCTGTTCAGAGGTGGAGGTGACAGCACCCACCCGAGGATGGCCCAGAACAGCGCAGCACCTGTCTGTGCGCTGGACACATAGTAGGTGCTCAGTAAGGGTTGGCGGTGTGTATGAGTGAACAAATTATATTGAAACCCACCAAGCAGTAATTCTTAAAACTTTTG